CACCATCAAAATCAGAAACAAAATAAATCCAAACGTTGTATACACGTTTTTCTACAACTGTAAACATTTCTTCAGTCCTCTTTGTTTTTAATTTGTTACAATATACGTCAACCATATTAGACAATCTAATTCTATCACCAACTTCAAATTTTGGTTTTTGATTTGTTAGTATAGCAAAGTATACGGTTTCTAATAATTTCCTTTCATTTTCTTTATTTACATCCTTTGGTTTTATTTTAATAGTAGTATGATAAGAATTGTTATAAGATTTTATAATTTTTGGAAGAGGCGAAAGCCAATCTTGGATTTACTTTTTAAAGGTTCTACCCATACATATTTAGAAAATAGCTTGGATCTTCTGATTTTCCTTTTGGTCTATAAAAAACATAAATATCTTGCCAAGTATCATTAATACCTCTGTGTTGAAAATGTGCGGATTTGAATAATTCAATAATTAAAATATTTTTAGGTGATTTATAAATATTATTTTTCACAGATTGACAATTTCTGCAAGTTGATATTCTTCTCCAGCGTTTATATTTTACAACAAATTCTGGTTCTCCAGTGGATTTAGTTTTCTTTTTGCATATTTTACGATAATCCATTTAGTTGGCAATAAACTGAATTTGCCAGACTTTGTGGACGCTCATGACTTTGTCCGAATCTAAAAAAATGTTAAGAATATTTTCACAGGTTTTTTCATCTCTTCATAAGGTAATTTTGTTAATAAAATAATAGTAATTTTTCGTAAAATTTCAACTTCTTCATCTTCTGTCAGATTAAGTTCAATTTCTTCACCATTTACTGTACAACAAACAGTAGAGATACCATTTTCACTTAAATTGATTACTATATTGCTTTCCTAAATTATATATTATAATTATACAGAAAACTTAACTAGCATATAAAAGAAAATTGGAGTACTTAATAGATAAGGTCTGTTGGAATTATAACCACCGAGATTTTCATCTGTATTTACCTTTTCTTTTTTTATTCTAAACTCTAGAAGATTAGATTCTTTAATAATAAATGGTTTAGAAACATCTATTGTTCCTTTATTATTACTAATATCCAAATCTTTCAAACAGCTGTGGAACAAAATTTTATTACTTCTACATTCATTGATAATCTAAGAAATCGTTCACCATCAAAAGAAAAGTCAAGAAAAGTAACAGCCATAGACTTTCTTTGAACAAACAGGAAACGGGATTTGCATTTTTTCAGATCCTAATGAAATGGTAGAAGGTCTTGATCTATTGATTGCATCAAGAAATGCTGGAAATTATTCAATTGAAGTATATAATGAATGCGTAGAAATCCTTGATAAATTGTTTAAAATGAAACTCATAAAATAGTCAGATCATAAGAGAATATTTTCAAGTTCTAAATGAGCCTTATAGATCTAACGAGAATGATTTTGAAATAAGTTATTCTGAAAACCCTATTAACTTATCCAGATTAAAAGGTAAAATTGCTTTAAAAACACCAAGTCTCTGGTATAGTTGGGATAACATTACTGAAGAGTATAAAAATGATGAAATAAAATGTCGAAACAGAACTGGTGATGATCATAAACAGAATGAAATTTGAAAAGATGAGGTTGAACAGGATTGGAAAATATTAAAATTACCAAACCTAGATCTTTAGTTAATATTGAACCAACGCATCCAAAATATTGTTGCGAAATACACCCTTACGCCGCCCCGGTACGACGCCTATGGCCGTCGAGAGCTTTCTGGACGTATGCACGGCGTTAATGGGTGAGTTATCATTGCTGACGGTGTCGACGCAGTGTTCCACAAAGGCAAGTCTGGAGCGGCTTACCGGGAGTCTTGATTGCGGACCCAGAAAACTCTCGATGCGGCGTTCTGGATCCATCGAGCGGCAAGCACAGGTTTAAATAGAGGCCACCTTCAGGAACAGGGGTATTCAATCGAAGCACGAGTCCAGCGAATCTTAAGAAGAGCCCAGTTGCGCCGTACATAATCGCTCTAATAGTTTATCGTGTATAGTAAGGAATAAATTGTTGAGTTTAACCTACGCTGGAATCAATTACCCGTTCAATGTAACAAGATTTGCCAATTAATAGTATGGATTATATATTTAATATTCGCATTTCCGTTACAAATCGGCTAAATCAATGAATAAATTTTAATGGAAAATGTTTAAATTTTATTCTAGATATTCTTTGATTCTGTCAACTTATGAATATTACTGAATATTCAGTAATCGTCTTTTTTGTAGAATAAATGGTAATTGATGTTCATAGAAAACAATTATTTCCAAAACAATATGGGTTTAGTCTTAAATATCACAGAGATATTAGAGGCGGAAATATTTTTTAATCTTTAAAAAAATTGCTATACCAGCATGAGGCTTTATATCGCAATGTATTAAAACCTTTTTTGGAAAAATAATAAAGAGGATATCAGTAACTTCAAGGCTTAAAAATATAGCGTCCACACATGTAAAATCACCACCGTTTTCTACATATAAAGAGGAAATTATAAATCCTATCCTAAGTAAAATGGAAGAAAAGTCGTTGAATGGACATTTATGAGGCAATGGAATAATCAAATTATTGGATTTAGTGGTAAATAAAGAATATGATATTATTAAGATTGCAAAAGAAGAAACTATTGGACCAGGAAATGTTATGAAGCTAACCCTAGCTGAAGATCTTAAAAATCCTGATAGGTTCTTAGCGAGCCACGATCGTGAATTGCTCTTAACAAGCCAAGATTTAAACTTAACTCAGTTAAATTAGATTTGTTAGATGCTATTTCCTCCATTAGTATGTTTATCTTTTGGTCCAAGGGTAATAGAAATATTGGATAAGAGATTAAAAATATCAGAAAGAATTGAAGAATATAAATTGATTTATAAATTTTATAAACAGTTGTTGCATTTCTATAAAGCTGATAAAATAAATGAAAGAAATAAATTTACGTGAAGAGAAATTTGTCAGTAATTTTAATTATTTTCCCAGAGAAAAATACTTGTAATAAATGAGATGTATTACATCAGTCTGTCAGTATTTTTTACTATTTCTCAGTATTTCTTCTTTATCAGGTAGTACCTTGCAAGGACGCTTAGAAATGAATATTACTAATTATTTAGAGCAATTTGGGTATTTAGGGTTAGCGTCCACAAAGTGGACTAGTGCTGCGCATGCTGAAGCAGACTCAGGTCAGCCACTAGAGACTAATGGATCATCATTAACAGAAACCAATGAAGCATTAATAAGGTTTCAAGAATTCTATAATTTACCAGCTGATGGAACATTAAATCAGGAAACACTTGTTTTGATCAGTAAACCTAGATGTGGTGTTAAAGATAATCCAACAGCTTATAGAGTTCATTATCAAAAATGGAATAAAACAAGTCTTAAATGGTATTTATAATGCCATTTAAGAGCCTTCGATCAATGGCAGTCTGTTTCAAATTTAAAGTTTGAGTACCGGCACGGCCAGCCCAAAGCCGTAGACGAGTATAATAGTATTAAGCCGGACATACTTATTTCATTTTCTTCTTCAACATAATCATAATACACGTTGTCAAAAAGGAGTATGTTCTAGCAGTTTTGATGGAAAACGTAATGTTTTAGCACATGACTACTTTCCAAATAATGATGAATGTCTGGGAATTCATTTTGATAAATCAGAAAATTGGTATTTTGGTGAATCAAGCAGTACACCTGATGGTCAAAGTAATTTTTATACAGTATTATTACACGAAATCGGACGTACATTTGGTATTGAACATTCTACAAATAATAATTAAATTATGTACGCCTATTATAAAGGTGATATTGATAAATTAACCCAAGACGATATTTGGGCAATTTAATGCAGCAATTTTTTGAAACTTCTCTAATCAATATGACGTTTCTCAAAATTGGATAACTCTGATAATAAAAAAATATTCAAATGAATAATTTGAGAAGCAAACAGTGAAAATGTTTGTTGGGTTGCATAAACACAATTTTTAAAACTGACACCATCCGTAAATCACGCTGTATATATTTTATGATAAAATGGTCTACATTGAGTTTGATGAGTGTTTAGATCAAAGAAAAATGGCCTTATTTCAGAATTATTATTAACTATAAGCAGAGGATTCAGCTATAGAAATTTATATTTCTTTAAAGATAAAATGTATTATGAAGTTGATGATGTTTCGAATGCAGTAGTTAAATCTGACAAATTTGACTTGACAGTTTTTGAATTTAAATGTGGTCTGATCGATCAAATAATACTACTAATTAATCGTATGTGACATTTTTATATTATTTTTAATTTTATATGTACGTTTTGAATATACCTTTAAAAAATGCAAAAATCCTAAAATTTTTAGTGTTTTTTTTTAAATAGGCTATCTTTGGAAAACGGTATATTTGCTAAAAAAAATATCTGTGCTGAGGGGGTCTGAAAGCAAAAAAGTGTAATAACACAGGGCAAAATCCTTAAAATGTTGCTTTTTAAATATACCTTTAAATAAAACAGGTTGTACAAACTTCAAAACAGGGTAAAATCTTTGAAAAATGTTAATTTTAAAAGGACCGTTAAAAGCAGGGGTAAAATAGGTTTTGCCTTAATTTCATTACCTGTTTGGACGAAACCATATTCATTTTTGTGTTGAAGTGACCCAACAGAAAAACAGGGTAAAATCTTTAAAATTGAAGAGTTTTAAAAGGTGAATTTTAACTTTTAACAAAGCTACTTTGGAAATCGGGTAGATTTGATAAAAAAAACACGATGTGTTCTGAAGGGACTTTACTAGTAAAAAACTTAAAAATAGGTCAGAGTAGATTTCATTAAATTTGAGCTTTAAAAACGAGTACTTTAAAAACAGGGTGAAATCAAAAAAGTGTTTTGTTCTGAAGGGACCTTTACTAGTAGTTAGTTACCTACAACTAATATATGTAAATAAAATTACAATTATGTTCCTATAGTACTATAAAAATGTATCAGCACTACAAGTACAATGGGTCAGTTCTTGATTTCCGCTTTATAAAAAAAACCAAACGAAAAACCTAAAAACTAAGTATTAAGATTTAAAATATAAACTTACTCCTAATTAGCCTATCAAGTCCAATCCGATACATGGTTAAACACTTATTTCGTAAAGTTTTGGCGTTAGCTACTTTTTCCCATTCTTCTCAGCAAAACCAACGCGTTCACGAGTAAGGCGCCAAAGAAAAGACAAGTACTTGAAACGTTTTTTGTTCTGTTCTTGACTGTCGACTTCGTCCTGTATCTCCACGAAATTGTCCAACATCACCATGAAAGCCGCCGTTCTGTTGTAGACCTCTTCATAGAAGAACTTCTCCCTGTGGTATTTTCTAACCGCAGCAAGGATGCATACTTGCCTAAGTTCCTCCTTTTCTTTACAAATTTCGTAGATTTCTCCATCTTCAAGTGCAAAGGTGATCAGTTCGTCGGGACTCAGCTGTCTGGAAAAACGGGAAGAACAAGTTATAACATGTCGAACTGGCCCCGTTCTGGTACTTACAACAACAAGTGGGCTAAGCAGTTTTTGATTTCTCGTAGTTCGGTATCAAGAGGCACATCGAAGATTTTGGAACAGATAGAACCCATTTTTTAACGTTACTGGTGAGGTTGTTGACGCGAAATAAGAAGAAGGTAAGGTGCGATTTGTTTTATAAGGTCGCGTTGCTTGCAATGATAAAGAAGTATTGAATAACTTGATTCGTTGTAATCAACAGATTATAGTAATGGCATTCCAAAGATACTTCACGTAGTCATCAAGTACTAAGTCCAAAAGTAGGTATTACTAATTTGGAAAATATTGGTTCTTGAATTGTATCTATACGTTTTAGGTGCACCTGCTTGAAAATGTTATTTCTAACAATACATTAAAAACTATTCCTTTTCAAATCCTTTAAGTTTACGTAATATCAGTGTTTATAATCCTAAAACTGTAGGAACTGATACACTTAATCAGGATTTACTAATAAAAATTGGTAAAAATGCTGGTCTCCAAATTGCTTCAAAAAACCATGACATTAGACATTTTAACTGTATATGGATCTCTCAACTATTGGTGGTCTTCAAATTCTAGATTTTTTGGAGTAATATATTTATAACTCTGACGATTTAAAGTTTTAAGCATGACAAACTAAAAATCTCAAATTCTATAAAAATATTTTAACAAATATTTTAACGATTTTTAAGTGTTACGTTTACCAGAAGCCACGTTCATAATACCTGCTAATTTAAAATTTTTACAATAATTAGAAGTCGTAGCGTTGCGCTCGCTTCATTTGAAAAAATTGCCCTCGGAATCATTCCGGCCTCATAAAATATGCATACGTTTGATGAATGACTTACGCCGCCATTAATTAATTCAGGGTTGTGTTTCGCCTGCGAAAACAAAGTTTGTCACATTTTTGTTTCTTGCTGCTTGATGAATGTTTAATAATTTATTAAGAACTGTATGGATCAGGGCTTCATTTGACGTTCGCTGTATTTATCTTCATTTGCTTTGCGAGCTAAATCGTAGAGAAAAATTTAATTTGAGAAATGTTTTCAATTTTCTTTATTCGCAGTCGTTCAGATAAAAAGATAGAGGAACACAGATTCCCTACACTCGCTTGTTTCGAACCTTAAATTAATTTTAGAAACAGGAAAGCTGCATTGCAGTTTAAACTCGGCGAGACTCGTATTATATTCGTCTTATGTTTGCAATCGTCAGAACTTTGAAAATTGCTGCATTTTTAAATTTAATTTTTTTTACGCGAGTCTTACAACTCGGATTGCTTGATCGTTTGAATAAATAACAACGAGACGCCGGAAACGACCTACATTTATACATGAAGATTTTTATTTACATGTTGCTAAAAAGTAACTTAGAACACTAGCTTGCCACAGAAAATTTACAATTAATGCAGTTGCCGCTTTCGTTTAACATGATGTGAACTACCCTAAAGCGAGGTTGTCTTTATCAGATCATAAATTGGCATTGTAATGTCAGTTTGACAATTTGATTATAACCCCTATTTCGACGAGGCGGCAAAAGCCGGCAACGCTTGCGGTGTGGCTTTTTGTGATGCTCGAAACGAACATTATATTAATTTGACCCTATTGTTTCAAACTTGGATATTAACATAACAAATTTGTGCTGGTTGAAAAATTCAAATGCGTTTTCAACTGCAAAGCAAGCTCAATATTGAACAATTCATCTTGTATCCTCGAGCCAAAAGTCAATGGGTCGTTTGGGATACATAAGTTACTGCAGATTAATAAATTCAGAATGTATTGTTAAATGCGAGACAAAAAGACTTCTAAGATTTTCGGTATTTTACAAAATGATCCTTGAGGCACGAATTTCCACATTTAGGAGTATGTTTCTAATGGGGCACCCGATACTTTATGAAAAAACACTTTAAAAGAACCTCCCCTGCCTACAAAATAATAGTACCTACTTAAATGTAAATATCTCCGAAAGTAGTCATTTGCGCACTAATTCAATGTCGTCTTCGTGATCAGGGGGTGTTTTTACGGGGTGTCCATGACAGTTTTTTGCTGAAAGCTCGTAGGACTTAATCTAAAAAAGTACACAAGATTGTGTTTGTATGTAGAGTACAGTAGCTGTATGTTTTTTTTTATTGATGTAATGACGTGTAATTTCGGTAAACGTTTTCGCAGGGCTTGTCAAGGAAGTCCGTTAGTTAGGGTATCATTAAAGAATTATGTATTAAATCGAAAAACTAAAATATTCCAAACTACGAAAATGAAAACTCATCAGTTTTACTGGTTGCCTATTTACATCCAAAATAAAACAAAAACTATTAAAAAAGAAAACAATTGAAGTAGAAGGTATAATATAAAGAAGGTACAAATACAAATTAGACAAGAAAAATAAGGAGCCTTTGCCCAGCATAGAATTAAATTTTACTTTAATAATAATTATTATTCTGATTGATGCATATATCGAAATCAGTAATAAAAATATATAATCTAAAATGGATGAAAAAGGCAGAGTTTGTTTTTTATTAGATTGTATGAACTGTCGTTCTAATCAAAGTACTTATAAATAAGAAGATCTTGGGATTTCAATAGACGGCAAAGACAGTGCAGGGACGAAGTCGAAGACATTGGTATAAGCGAAAGCATTATTGATAATATACATACCTCTGCAAGAAAAATGCAGGTGTTTTTAATTATGCGTTGGGTACTCCTCGATAAAATGAATCACCTTTAACCTTCAAAAATGGTATACGTGTGGTATTAAACGATTGTTTAAAATTTTAGTTTTTCTTACTAAATCATCTATAAGTTCACCAAACTTTTTTCAATTACTTTTTATTTGAAAAGTACAGTTCCAGTTAATTATATTCAGAATTTCATAAAAAAATCATCCATTTATGTATATAAAAGAATCGCTGAGCAAATCCTTTGCTGAAATGAAGCTGATATTTTGTGCTTTTAAAAGAGGCTGAAAATTTGTTAAAGTATTGATTTGTTCTGAACGGGTGCACGAACACGAAATAATTTCGCAATTTTTCTGTTGATTAATTTTTCACACTTTTATTATCTGTTCGCTTTGTCTCTGCGATTCTTGCATTATTAACCCGTTCTTCGGACTGGAATTTAAATCTAAAAAAATGAACCTAAAACATTCGTTCTTTGGCTTTAGGTGTCCGCATTTATTAGTTAACTCATCTTCAAAAGTGAAATTTTCAAAAATACGTCATGCAGTTGTGTTGTATTTTTTATATTAAAATGAAGGTTTACCTGTGCCCCACTGACTACTTAGTGTGTTTTTCGGTCACTTTCAGATAATTGAAACTTTCTGAAAACCAATTTTAGCAGATTTTATTTTTATATGTTATAGGTTGATTTGTAGAATTTTGTATTTTTATGATTTTTTGTGGGTCTGGGCGGATTCAAGTGTTCGTGGTTTGTGCGCGGTTTAGAAGGAAAGTTATTTTTCGTTGTTTTAAAGAAAATATAGACTTTTAGCAATATTCGAAGGAATTTTAGCATTTCAATTAATTTTTTGTGTGAATATTGGCAAAGTCGCTGCATGCGAAATTCGAATAACTCCAGTTCGACTACCTGCTGCTATTCAAACGAGAAATTCGCCGCGGTAGTCAGGAAAGCTGCGAACGCATCGGCGGGAGATTTCCTCAAAGGGGAAACCGCGTGATTATTTTGCGGCAAATGTCAAATGTCACCCTTCGATTAAGAGTTCAAAGATGAAAATTTTTTCATGTAGAGGCACAAATGTACACTTGTTGCTGTATTTTAGGATGTTTTAAGGTGGACCTCAGTGTATATCGATCTTATTTTCATGAGTTGTACGTGCAACAAGTACGCCTGCGCAATGAGGAAGTTGTTTTCCCGATTGAATCTTGAAAATTGTCCAGTTTTCCACAGTCTTCGTCTGTGTATCGTGTTGATGTTACCTATCTTTGAGAGAAAATTTTCGTCATATAAACATGTAAGCAAGTTGCATGATCCGAGCATGACTTTGAGCACGATTTAATTTTTACGGTCCGAATTTGAATTTAGACGCTTGTTTCATTCATGGATTTGCGTTTTTCGAAAAATTTTCCAAAATATTTCGCTCGAAAAAATGTTTTTGTTCAATTAAATGTAGATCAGCGGCGAGGCACATCCGTTCAGTTTTGAACCCGGCTTTTGCGTAAAAATAACTCAATTTTACAGCAATTTCACTTAATTTATCGATTTGAAATTTGCGTTCAATTGCCTTTGTCGCTGATGAATTTTAAATTCGGAGTTTAGAGGGAATTACACAAATAAAGGACTTTCGGTTTATATTTATGGATCTTGGAAACTCAATTATTAATCGTCATAATTTAATTGCGCCGAAACTTTTTGTTTCAAACTCTCTCAAACTTGATAATTAATTAAGTAAATACAGCTTTCATAGCTCATAATTAGTGAAATTGATATTTTAGCCTACGCTTTTGGAAGTTGTTTCACAGCCGACTTTTCCTTCAAAACCTGACAACCGCTCTTTTTTCCAGGAGTAAAGAAACTTAAAGATGTTGAGTCCAAAAATGCAAAGAACTATTCGCGTCAATGAGAATCAGCTGATAATGTTATCAGAAAGGGCTCACTATGACCACTCGCAAGCCGGCTATTTGCATAAGAGATCAGCAGACAGCAGTAAATGGCAACTGAGATGGTTCGTGCTTTACCAGGTAGGCAAATACCGATTTATAATTCATACCCTATATTGCCCGCATGCACGTGCTCCTTTTTGCGTTCGACTCCCAATAAAATAAATCTAATAAAAATCAATTTACTTATAACGAACGGGCTTTAAACTCGAATAAAAATTCATTTTATGTTAAGGAAAAATGTAATTTCGCTTCAGAAGCTTCCGAAACTTTGATAGGCAATAAATCGAGCCAGCAACAGTTTGATTTATTCTTCAGACGCGACATTGCCAAACTCGATTACAAAAAGCGGCAACGCCGCATATTTTAATAAACCGGTTTCCAATTTCGATTTTTGATTTCGCGCCCCCTCGATATACACTTTCCGCCCGTTCTTCAATTTCTCGAAACGCGACTTGCAAATTTTGATTAATGATTCTCGCTTACACTGGAAGGGAAAGTATCTCATCTTTGATTTTCGATAACGCATCCGAGAATCTATAAAACTTCACAATGCGCGTTTCGAATATCCCCCGCGATAAGGTAATAGCTGCCTGTAAGACATCGCGGGAAAGGCAAGCAAAGATCTTGAGTTACATGTTTTCCGACAAGATTGTTTGCGGAATCCAGTTACGACGGTTATTTGCCATAAATAATTACTCCTGAATATGATGAAGCGGAACTTCTTATCAGCGTGACAAATGTTATCACATTTCAGGTGCGCGTCGTTACGACTTCGATACAGCCAAACTTACGCGAACTTCAATCACTAACTAAAAAAAGAACAAACAGATCTATGTTTGCTCTTTACACAATTTTCAAAGAAATAACGGAAGCCGCATAAAACGGCTACCAGAAAATGCTCACTTTTTAAAGGCTATTTCTGAATTCTCTGTGACGTTAAAGAACGGTTTGGTGATGTATTCTGTATGAACATTTTAGGGAAAGGTGGGAAAACGGGGTACCATGGTTAACGAAGGCATACAAATTTAGCTTCAACTTGTCTTACTAATGTTGCAGGATGGAAAGAAATACGTCGTCGTGCATGGATGGAAGACTAAAACATCAAAAAATTGTACATATATGCAAAAAAATGTGTTTTATTGTAACCTGAATCTTAAGTACTCCGTTTTGCCCCACCTTTTCCTACTAACACACCTAAATCAACCATTTTGCTACTTCTCACTACTGTACGATACAAAAATTTGCGTGTTTCGCTCAATTTTTTACTTTTTGCTGGGGAGTATTGTGCCGACTTGAAAAAAAAAAGTTATTCTAAAACGGCAAAAATATTCTCAGTCGTTACCAAGTTTGTTACAAATAAGTTAATACGTTCCTACGTTTGCCAGTTTTTTAAAACAAAAATGAAGAAATTACTCACAACCACTCACGTAATTTCGTTTTAATACGTCGAATGCTTAATATTATACCTGTCTAACTACGGTACTACAAAACTAATTAGGCCTTGAACTATTGATTGATCATTACTAGAAATGCGGTGTTAGCACAGAGCTTATATAAATTTGAGGTTGCCATGTTTAAGCATGTTTAATCTCATAAGATTAATTGAGAATTTATTATTAACACGAAATTGACACTCTAAAACTTAAATGCCTGGATACACGAAGGAATTAGGGGGTTTGTTACGACAGGAGCTGTCGAATGTGAGTACGTACAAATTTAAAAAATTACAACAAGAACGTGCTGAATTTTTTGAGTGTAGGTCGAATGAAGTAAAAAAATCACAAAAAGGAATGAAACTCTGTAAAACAACAAATTTATAATAACGTTTTTAAAACTACGAAAGAAAGTTTGCTTTTTGTTCAGAATTTACTTTATTTTTCCTTTGTACCACTTTTTTAGCGTTTTCAAGACTTTTATTCTTTTTTTTATCGCCTTGTTTAATGTGTACATATTGAGCGTTGCTGAAGATGATTTTTTCTTCAACGATAATTCAAACGAACTTTATTCCTGTGCAGCAGTCTGTGACAAATTTATTTCAGTTTTTGCTATTAGTAACAATACATTCTTTTTGAATTTTATTTTTTAAATATTAAACGACATATACAATAAAAGGATAAGTGTTTAAAGGTCAAATTTAACAGAAAATTCGCAAAAAAAGAGACAAAGTTATGAATTACACTACAGATCTTGATATTTTAAACAAAGTGAACACGCAACATTTTGTAGTTAGTGAGAGGGATAATTGTACGTTTTTTTTTTTTGCTGTGTTAATGGACTTAATACCAGTAACGTTATTGTTGTGTCAGATTTTTAGAACAATACAACAATTTTGACAATTTTGTGCCTTAGAAGCAAAGCATTACTAAACCATTACAACACCATTTTGGTACTTATTTTTCAACGGGCGAACTCTGTGTAACGCAGAGGAGTCGAAAAACTCAAAATATTCCGACCGGAGTTAATATCTTGCATAAATCTGGAAATTCCTGAAATAATATTCGGTTTACTCTTGAGATGTTTTGTGTTATTACAACAGCTTTAAGTTCTTGCGTTAGGACTCGAGGCTTGCATTAAGTTGTGGTTCCGAACACAACTATGAAAACTTTACGGCACTTGTGCTCTCTCTTGTTACAAATTTTGCTTTTCTTTGCAGAACCTCTTATTTTATTACGATTCCGAAAACTGTCATCGACCTAGTGGTGTCCTGCTTTTGGAAGGATGCTACTGCGAACGCCTCATCACCACGGGCAGCGCTTCGAAAAGCAAAGATGGCTCCGAAAAACAGGTCAGTCAAAAATAATCATACTCAATTATCAATTCCGACTCCACCTAACTTTCCGAGGGATTATTAAATTGCGGACGTTTTGATTAAGCCACTCATTCGCATAATTAAAAAGTGGTTAGTCCGCGGCTCGTCGAAGATAATATAGAAAAGTTCTAAAACCGAAAGTAGACGCTTTTACTGGCGTCATAAAAGCTACCATAAATTGCGCATCATACTCATCATGAGTAATTACTATAAAAACTGTTACCAGAGTGTAGTACACACATTAAGCAACGCTAACTTCTTACTCGATATTGGCACGTCCGCCAGAGTTAATTAAATTTGACGCATTAAGAACTCAAAGTTCTGAAATGGGTAATCCGCAACGTCGGGAAGTTTGACACATTACTAGATGACCAAACGTGTCCGAAAAACGTATTTCAGTCCGTGATCCGTCTCATAAGAAAAAATATGTAGTCTTTTAGCTCTAGTGGTACCGAGGGTTCCGACCGCTGGAAAAAGTCTCTCGTTTTTACTTTTTAGTGGGGAGTATTGTGGTGGCTCAATTTATAAAACTCGTATTAAAGGCAGCCACTCTGCAATTTTGAAAAATTATCGTGGAAGGTTATTAAAGTGTCGTGTTGCGCTGTTCAGTAAGCCGTTAAATTTGACTTTTATCGGATGCTGATCACACCCGGTATACGGAATAGAGAGTACTAATGGTATCTAGCGAAAATCAATTGACTTATTTATGTTTATTGTCCCTCTGCGTTCTGTGTTTGGAAACAATCATCTATTTAATAAGAATTTTTCACTTCTTTCCCTCCAAGGTATCGGATTATTGAGTAAAGCAGAGAAACGTGCTAGAAGATTATTAAATGGCCTCTTTTGTTCTCCTGGGAATATACGTCGAAGCTGACTTCTTTGAAATTTCTGCTAGCGTTTATTGTTAAAGTGTGTCTGAGCTGAATTGTAGAAAACTTTGATACACAATATACTTATCGGTAATAAAATATTAAAGCAGTAACTTTTTTCTTTGCGTCAAAGTTTTTCAGCTGAAGGTTTTTTACGCACTCGCTTCAATAATTATATCCCAGCTGGAAAAGCACTCTTTTGCATTTTGATCGAATTGCTTTGAGTCCCTTCTGTCCTCCATTATCGTCACATTATTCGATACAACTTTATCGAGTGGATGGCTGTGAAGGTTTTCCACGTGTAGATTACGAAAGTAGAAGTTCATTTCATTAAAAATGAAGCTCGTGGCAAAGCAATCAAAGAATGGTGACGTTCGAAACACAAAAACAGTACATGAGAATATTAAAACTGTCAAGAGAAAATATTTTCATTTGGGAATATGAAAATCTCGAGTGTTTTTCATTAAATTTGGGACGTCTCACTTTATTAAGCCGAAGCATGAGAAATCTCTTATTAAAATTTAAATTAAAAAAATAGCTGAACAGGATTTCGAATATTTACGACTTTGTTTATTTACTGAAGCTTCAAATCTGACAAGAGAGTCGAGATAAAGAGTTTTTATCGTCTCGTAGAGGTACGGATTTACCTTCAAGTATTTAGCTTTCTCGTTTTATAGACTTCGGATTAGTTCGTAACTGTACTCAGTGAATGTTTTACTACCGCCATCTATTAAAAAACACAAAACCGGTTCACTCTTCACCGAAATTGGTCCATAGCATCATCGCAGAGCGGAGAAGTTAATTTGACCGTTCTGTAGCTCACTATTAGGGCCAGATCATCAAAAATAATTAGATATTACAACTTTCCGTTCTTTTTACCGATTTCGCTTTTCATCTTTTTATTTGCTCGATTACACAAAAGAACCAGTATTACATTTATCAAGACCATTATCTCAAACGAGGCATAAGACTGTTGAGATAAAGGGCTGTATATCATACGTATGTATGTTGCTGATCCTCGATATATTTCAAAAAACCGATGATTTTACAAATTTTTCGTTTATTTATTTATTGATTAGCGCTGGTATTGTAGCACGATATGGTTTCCTAGCCGAGCGATTAAACTACCAGTGGTACCCGGTGGTCAACAAGTTTATATATCGATTTGTAGTACTCATATCCGACCAGTTCGTACCAAAGCGATAACCCGTCGGCAAACACACTCTTATACACTTATCGATTTTGGGTGTATATCTGGTAAAAAATCGTAGGGAAAGATTTTTCCCTCGCTGTGCTGTAGAACGGAAGTAGTCACTAGATTATTTCTTTGTTAATTTTTGCTGTGAATATGCAAGTAAAATAAAGACTTCAAACAGGGGCAGTGTTTTCGGATGATAATCAGGGTTGGGTCGGTATGCATATATGTATGAAATGATCCACACGAAATATTAGCTTTGTTATAGCCGTGTCCATATAACACTTTAATTCCGCTAGTTTGCGGTTTCTCCTTACACGGCGTGGACGAATTTTCGAGTGAGGTTTAATAGAATAACAGCGGATAACTGGAAGACGCGAGCTGAAACTTTAAGCCCAAGATTTACAATACTGCTCAGGATAGTCGCAAAGCTACCATTTAAGGTGATCGAATTCTTTCCACGTAATTATTGGCTCCATAAAAACAACGACAAGAGGCAGACTCTGGAAAAAACAATTTCTCTCAGCTGTTAAAAATACGAAAAATGTACGATAAGTGCTGCGGCAGATGTGGTTTTGCAACCCTTTGGACCAATACAATTTAGCTGTTACAGCATTCATAAATGAGTAACGCCTAATTCGCAATTCTGCCGCATGAAAATAGAAACAATGCAGAGCTTTTATATGTGATAAATTATGCACAATTGCGCTAGAATTAAGCCTTGTTTGTGCGTGTTTGCGCTAGTCACCAATCAAGACCTTGTCATGGATCTGCCGCGAATTTAGTACACAACAATTTTTGATTTTAATTTAATCAACTGCGAAGTTTGTGTGTGTTGTATGAAAATGTTGACGAACTGCGGTGACAAATTTTGCTTTTGAGTGGGGAGTATTGTGTCGATCCGATTTGTGAAATTTTCACAATACGTGTTTTTAAAAGCTACAGGCATGCAAAGCTTTTATATGTAATAAATTATGCATAAGTGTGCTAGAATTAAGCGTTGTTTGTGCGTATGTGCTCGCTCATCGCAAATACTTCAAAACCTTGTCAAGGATCCCTTATGAATTTAACACACTAGAATCCGCCCGTGTTGTCTGAAATACGAAAAAACCCCTGTGATCGCTACCCACACGGTTGATGTTATTACCAAAAAAAGTTTTGCTCCGAAACATAATTTCCACTCTTTGCAGGGCGCTGATACGAGCTAACACAAAAAGCAAGTATTTAATGAGAAAATAAAGTGTCCATTTTTATTTGCCACTTAACAAGTTTTGCCGTTGATGATAGCTCCTTTGCTCCGTTGATGAGAAAAAGTGTAAAAGGTAACGTAACGCGTCCATACTTCGTGCTAAGGAAATATTTTTATCGAGTTGTGTAGCGGTATTTTTAGTTATCTACTTGAGGAAATTAGGCTTCGAGAACCTCAATTATGGAGAGTTCTGTCGTTTGTGGGGTAATGTTTGGGTTTATTGATTTGACGTTGAACGAGTGTCGCTGGAATTAAAATTCTAAAAATGAATATCTTTGAGAGTCGTTCGGTAATCTACAGGTGGTGAAAGTTATTTAAAATGGAGAAATGAGGTGAGTTGAATAGAATAAAATTAAAGACGGTGTCAAATGTCGACATTCGAGATCGTTTTGTGAAAAGCTTTCGATATCGCCAGAAATTGCCTCCTTGATGCATACTTTATTATAATCTCGATCGAATTCCTCCTCTTGTTACTAACATAATATGTATTAATTCTATTTTGCATAATTTATTCTTATGGGTATCGACAACTTTAAAAAATGTTTTTCAAGGTTCTTACGCGACATATTTTTACAGTGTATGCTAATTAACTTTGAAATTAATAACACGCAACACTATTATTTAATCTGTTGGGCAAAAAACGCCGACTTTAACAAATAAATAAAATAGGAAAAGCACTACAAGAGTCTCTTTTATCAAAGCCTTTGCAAAATACGAACACTCCGCATAAATATTTCAGGAGTGGTAATGTGACCTAAACATACCCTTAGTTATTTATTAACGGTTCCCTTTACTCCGACCCACTTAAAAATTACTTTAGCATCATTTGCATTGCTTTGTCGGGCCGTAATTGATTTAGGATATTAAAATTTACCTTGAAAATTTTAACACTAATTGATAACTTCAAAATTCGAGTTATTTTCCATAACAGAATTATTCTTTGTACATAATTTAAACTTAATCCACTTCCCGCTCACAATAAAGCAAGCGAAAAACCAAATTTCGTTCACGTCAAACTTCAACTTGAAGCAATTAACACAGAGATGAAGTATTTTAGTTGAGATAGAAATTTTAATAATAGGGATCAAACTAATCACCTACTCGGGTGTAAATTCGACGTAATTTTCCAGATTATGGGAAGGATTATCTCGTACCTGTGGCTACACTCCGAACCCGAAATTCTCAATCATGTCATGCTAATTTAAGATTGTGCGAAGCGATATTCTGTTTACAAAAAATGGAAATTCTAGTTAGCATATTGATCGAACGAGTCAATTCTATTTTCTCATCTTTCATAGAGTAATTTACCATCGGGTTCCCTCTAGCGGTTTTAGTTCATTAGAACCGATATCGAGAACTTCTGATGGAGTGCAACAGATTTAACGAGCGCTAATGCTGCTGATTAAGTTTAGTTTACCGTTAAATAAACAGCCGCAGAGTTTAGAGGTGCAGTATACGCCGACAAGCACGATATGGCGGCACACTCTGACACTGCTGTTTCACAGGAGAGTATGAATAAAATTTTGTTCATCGTTCAGGTATTACTGCGTCCGTTGTATACTCGCTTTCACGAAGCGAGGTTTACAGCGTCCGACGTATACACAACTTGAACGACAGTAAAACATACATGTGGTTGAAAGTAATGATGGAGCCCGTCCCAAAT